GGCTTATTTTCCACCTGCCAGCTATCCAGATAACTTAGGTAGTTGTCATCTGTGATCTGGAGAAACAATGACAAATATTATTATTATTATTCATGAATGCATTTTTGCTGAATTAAATGACAGTGCGCCTCTTGTACGTATATGATAATAAAATCAGATCAAAATCTTTTGTTATAATCAGCTGAGAAACAAAAACAAAAAAAATCCAATGATCTGACTTATAATCCTTTGAAGACACACACACACGTCGTAGTAGTATATTAACATCGGTTACCTTCTCCACCAGTTTTTGGGGCAGCAGGTCCTCAATGAACTGCTGCAGGTGCTCTCGTACCACGGCCTGATGGAAGAAGGTCACCCTGCCGTTCACCAGCCCGATGATGGAGGGAGCGCGGTGAGCTCCCAGCTGGTGAGCCAGGCGACGCTCGTAACCCAGGTCCACAATGCCAATGCCAACACCTGATGTAACAGCAGAAAATAGACTGCTATTGTACCCGACACAGTTTTCTCACACTGAACAAAACATTTCAATTTCGTTATTTATTATTTGAAGGCGACTGTAGCAGTGTATAGCCTATAGTCCAGCAAAATGACAACTGATTGGATGCTGTTCAAGTAGGTTCATATTAAAACCGAGTAGTATAATAATAGACACGACAAATGTGAATCCTATTTTAAAGTGAATCGTCTCTTTCACCAAACAGAGGCACTCAACGTCTCTAAAAAATAACCACTCCAAGCAGTGGGACTTTTACTCGAGTCTTGGAAGCTCGTGATGGACTGACTAGAGTTCATAAAAGATGCAAACATCTGTTTTTAGTGTCTGACAGAATCCCGTGTATACGTACCAGCACAGTGACAGAGAAAAACAAGCCAAAGCTGACTTTATCTTGGTTTCTAACACTCTATAAAAAAAAGGGGTTATATTAGACGGCTTCTGAGATAGACAGTTTATTTTTATATGAACAATGGGTGAAATGTGAGAGGTGTCGCTTCTCTCTTAGGTTGCTCCAATCAACCTCATTTCCAGCAGCAGAAGGCAGCTGTTTTCATTGAAAGCGCTCCGACTTTCTATACACACGGAAAGCTACTTAACCCAGCACCCAAAGGCAAACGTTAGCACCTAGTTAAAAAGATTGTAGAGCATTTACCCGCTAGAGACCCAGATACATACTCAGTGACCACTTTTATAGCTACACTTGTACAGTCTAATGTAATCCAATACAAACTGTGCTTTATTTTTTGACACATAGTCATTGAGGTATTGTTTCAGCTATATGTTCTAGCATCGAGGTCATAGTTCCAGGTCTGCATTATATTGAGAGGGGTCTGTTATGCTCCAAACAAAATGAATGCTACTTTACGGCAAAAGCTACAAACCCATCCATACTGAACACAAATTCCACCGGTTATGACTGATGACTTTAGCATAGCAAAGCCATTGGGTACATAGATATGCAGGATATTTTTCTGGGGCAGGCAAACTTTAATTAGCAGAATTAACTCAACAACTTTAAATTCATCTCCAGCGGCAGACACTTGCGAGTTGAATTCCTCCCTTGGCTTTACGCTCCGTTTCAGGAACCGAAAAGAACAAATAAACCCGCATGAATAATTAATGAAATGGCTGGCTCCTTGTAGAGCATCTTAGCACTTGGAATCACATTCGTCCTATAATGGCCTGCCGCCGAGCAAACATCAACCTTATGTTGTGATGCTTTTAGGGAAACCAACCCTGGTCCTGAGAGTGCAGGGGGGGGGGGGGGACAGCAGACTTACCCAGTGGCTCCAGCTGCAGCACCGTCTCCTTCCACACAGGCTCAATGTGGATGCAGGCAAAGCACCACTCAGAGGTCACTTTGATGAGGTAGGGCCTCTTGTGGCTGTCTGGGAGGACGTCGCTGTTAAACTGTGCGTGGTGAAGCAGGTACTTGCTGTCTGCAAAGTCCCTGGACCTGGAGGAGGGTTTGGAAAACCAGACAGTGAGCCATTTTTTTTTTTTTTAGTCAGAGCCTACAGAGGGCGGTCAGGACATGAACCATGAGTAAGCATTCTCTAACTTTAATTTGTTCGCTCAGTCTAAATCATGGTGCACTAAAAAAATGTATCTTCACAAAGAGGTTACTTTAGTTTATTAATCGAAGATTTTCCTCCTTTAAGTCTCAAAATCAAAATATAAGGAGTCCAATAAGTCTGCAACGAACGATCATTTTCATTTCTTAACACTCAAATTCCAATCTTAGGTATGCAGAGCTCAAGCTGAAGTCTTTAAATTGCTTATTTTGCTTGAGTGACAGGCAAACAATCCAAAAGGTATATAAAAGGAGAAAAAGAACTACATCCTCACATTTGAGAAGCTCCAGCAAATGATTGGTGTTCAATTAATCTGTCATCCATTTTCTGGTGACTGATTAGCAGTATGATGCATAAACGTTTTCAAAACATGACCAAAGTCTAGGAATTGGACAATACCTGCTTGCAACTAAAAATGTGTGACAGCAGTTTTGTCATTTTATTATTATTATTATTATTATTATCAATAACCAAAAGCAAACACAAGGAGGTGCCCAACCTACATCACTCACTTTGGACTAGACACAGCAGCATGCTGGGAAATAAATATTTAGAGGCTATGGAGTAATACATGTCTTGTAATTAGTGACAGAAAAAAAGGGGCGTGTTCCCTTATGCCCAAAGTACTCCTCTACCAATAGCACCTTCACAAGCATGCAACAATGGGACATGTGTGCATGTAACTAATGTGAGCCTGTACCTGGGGAAATGGAAAAAAGACTCGTCAAAGTAAAAGCTGTTGTGGAAGCCGCGGAAACCTTGATGCTGTGACTGGCCAAGGGGCTGGTTTTCCTCCATCTGCCCGTAGCGGTCGAAGTTAGACCTTCGTTCCTCGTTAGACAGAATCTGTGTGTGAGAGGACAGTGTTATTCATGTTGGATCAACTGCAGACAGACCATGATACAGAAAGTGACACAGACTCAGTGAGCCTCATAGAAATAAATACAGCATGTCAGCTGGAGCTGGTGTGAAATAGAGTTACATGACGTGTTGTGATGCATTCACGCCCACCTCGTATGACTTGGACACCTTGATGAACATGTCCTCAGCGTTAGGGTCCTTGTTCTTGTCTGGGTGCCTAGAGAAGCAGGAACATCAGGAATCACTACTGGGTCATGCAGGGTTGAACGTGCTCTCTGTTAGACCAGCTCGTGATGGGTTTGGTGGGATAACAAGCACCAGTCAATGTGTCAAATGTACACTGTTATAACTGAACAGGGGCTAATCTGCTATACAGTCACAGATGTGTGCTTGGCCTACCGCCAGGAGACTTGCTGTCATGTCACTCACCATTCTTTGGCGAGGTTCTTGTATGCCCTTTTCACTTCTGCTTGACTCGCACTCCTGCTGACACCCAGGGTTTTGTAGGGGTCATATTCAGAGGCTGCATTCACCAACTGCACATTCAAAATTAGCAGAAAGATGGCGAGCAGCAGCGGACATGTCCGAGGATGTCGGCGGATTTTCCCGAGCGTCATCGCTTTGCACTGTCCTCGTCCCAACGCTAACGTCAGTTAGCCACCGAGCTTATCAGGTGACGTAATGTTACGCGGCTATTCCGTTCAAATATGTCAAGTTAAAGAGCTTACGTGATAACGGTCGGTTGACTTCTTGAACGTTAGGTTACATATAGACGACATACTGGTATTTTACTACGATGAGGCCATTATTTTTCTAGCTAATCAAAGCGGTAGCGTCATGACCGCAATGAAACATTCATTTTCCGCTAGTATATTTCAAAATAAAATCCCCCTAACCCTCTTAGAATTACAAATTAACTGTGAAAATGGGACTTTTTTTGCAATTACTTAAATTAGATTTCCATAAGAGATGCGCCTGTGTAACATAGTATATATATACTGTTGAAAGAGTCAAAATATCTAAACTGTCACATGTGATAGATTTGCATATTGATGTTTAATGTCCACAACTAGTGCCAAAAATGTGTGAACACTCGTTAATGAAGGATTAATAGTAAGATCAGATCTTTAATAACTGTTAATAATCGTAATCATATCGGAAACATTATTAATAGTGTTTGGAAATCAGCCCACATCAGCAACCTGAACGAATTTGATCTTTTCATTCATAAACAGAACACTGATGCATTACTCAATATACTTAAAGCAAAAATATATATATATAGCAATTTGACATTTTTATCCTATAAAACCAAAGTTATATTTATTACAGTTAAAGAATTCCAAAAGGCCACTTAAGTGTTTTTATTTTGAAGCAACAAAAACAACTTCCGGTCTTGTTCAGGCTATCTTTCCAAACTTGATGCTCCAATTTGAGATAACGCGCATGCGCCGGTCAGCAGCTGTCCACACACTGCTCCCCCTTCATTTCATTATCCTTAATCCAATTTTTTTTTCTCATTACACATGCCATATTTAACTAAGAAAAGATTTCCACTGCTCTATTATTTTTTTGAATAACGGTAAGTGTAATTGTGATGTCATAACAGTTCTTGGCAAAGTTAGGCTTGAGGTTAGTCCATTTCCTCTGGTGTAGGTAATACATATTCTTATAATAACAACAGTTATTAGAAAAACACACCCCAAAAAAAGTGTTTATGTTGTGTTATTTGAATTCCCTTCTCGCGGAGGGGCTCCACTTCCGTTTCCGGTTCGTCACTGCCACACAGAACTGATTTGGTTTTACACCAAAAGACAAAAAAATGAATACACGGATAGCTGGTTGAACTCACGCAAGCGAGCGAGTTACCCTGCTTGTTGTAACCTACCTGACCACTAAACCTACTACTAAGCTCTCTGGCTTCCATCTCATGTTTAGACCAATATGAACAGCCCGTGTGTGTTCGCATACAGCAGAGTGAGCTCACAAAGTGCGCAGAGGGTCTTATCTCGGTAGCTAGCGTTAGCCCTGCAGAAGAAGCTGCCATCGGTGGCCCGCTCTGGCTGCATCATTCACGGGACAGGAACTTTTCAATTAGCTACGGTAACTAACAAATCCTCTTTAATGCATCACTGCTTTACAACATCGACACGTAGCGTTATTGACAGTGTGCAGTTCAACTAGCAGGCATGGGGCTACAAAGACACGGGTGTGCAGCTGATGTGGGGTTACTAACGTTACTATTTTTGCTAACTTGTTCAACATCTGTCGTTATTCAAAGCAAAGCCTCTCATCCAAATGTAACCACACTTTAAAACGCACAAAGGTAATGCCATGTAGTACTACAATCAAACTTACACACAACACTAGACATCTTTTCTGGTGCTAATACATGTTTGTTTATCTTTGCAAGTATTTAACCTCGTCCTGTTAATTTATCATAAGATGAGAAACACACAAGATGCGTTTTGATTTTTCAGTTCACTTTTCTGATAATGCATGTTGAAAGTATGGTTGCATTCTTATTTGGGTGTTTTGATGATTAACTTGTATAATTTGAACTGCAATAACGCCACCAATCTTTTGTGTTTCTCACCCCAGACTCGGCACCATGAATCTGTTACGATTAGTGTGCCGCCACAAGACGGCCCTGGTCATCGGCACCGTGTGCAGCTTCGCTGTGGTTCTGGTCTTCTTGGCTAAGTGTACCTCAGAAACCCTGAAACAGGCCCACCAGGATCCTCCAGGCCTAGCACCTCGTGCCAATGCTTTGCCATCCCGTCCAGAGCAGCATGATCCCCCCTCCACGTCCAAAGACTTGTCAGCATTCCTGGTGGTCCTCATCACAACCGGACCTAAGTACACCGAGCGGAGGAGCATTATCCGCAGCACCTGGCTGGCCAAGCGGGACTCTGATGTTCTGGCTATGTTTGTGGTGGGAACTCAAGCGCTACCCAGTGAGGACCTTCAGAACCTCAACACAGAGCAAGGGCGGCACAAGGACCTGCTCTTACTGCCCGACTTGCGGGATTCTTACGAGAACTTAACGCTCAAGCTGCTGCACATGTACTCCTGGCTGGACCAGAATGTGGAGTTCAAGTTTGTCCTGAAAGCCGATGATGACACGTTTGCTCGTTTGGACCTCCTTAAGGAGGAGCTGAAGGGGAAAGAGCCCAACCGGTTCTACTGGGGCTTCTTCTCAGGGAGAGGGCGAGTGAAAACTGCTGGGAAGTGGCGGGAGAGCTCTTGGGAGCTTTGTGACTACTACCTGCCCTATGCGCTGGGCGGCGGCTACATCCTCTCGGCCGACCTGGTACGTTACGTGCATCTTACCGCGGGCTACTTCAAGACGTGGCAGAGTGAGGATGTGTCGCTGGGCGCCTGGCTGGCACCAGTGGATGTCCGGCGGACACATGACCCACGCTTTGACACGGAGTATAAATCGCGTGGTTGCAACAACAAATACCTGGTGACACACAAGCAGAGTCTGGAGGACATGTTGGAAAAACACCAGACTCTGCAGCGTGACGGCAGGCTCTGCAAGGAGGAGGTCAAGCTGCGACTGTCCTATATGTATGACTGGAGTGTGCCACCCTCACAGTGCTGCCAGAGGAAGGATGGCATTCCTTAATTCCTCTTTTTTTACAATGACCTGAAGTTAGCTTCCAATTTGTATCGTAAGGAAAAAATGAAGGGATCATGTTTTTCCACCAATTCTTCAGTGTTACACCATTTTAAAGTTATGTAACAAGTTCCAGGCAACAAAGTCAATGATTTAATGTCGATAAAAAGCCCTTTTCAGATTCGGAGAACCTTTTTTCTTATTGCAAGAACACAAAAATGGCAAATTTCACTGCTTTTTCGTCACGTAGGCCTCGTTTTTTTCATTTTTTTATTTCCCCAATTTGAAATTGTGTTTTAAACAATCTTAAGCGTTTTTAGGTTAATTTACAGTGGGTAGACAATTATAGGTTATTGTAGTTTTTGTACAGTCTCCATTTTAATCTAGCACAGGTGTGACGACCTGGTTTAATGTGGTCTTGATGGAGTAAAAGTGATGACATCCCACTTTTTCTCTGTTTTCGCCAGTAGAATGAAGTTTTATACAACATTAAAGCCTTTACTTTAAGTGGTGTAACAATGGGATTGAAAAGTATTACCTCTCAACTCTCAAACAAGAAGCCAACTTCAGCCTTGTCATTTTTCGGCCAGTAAGCTCCTTCGGCCTTGTCTGTCTGTGCTTCTTCTGCTGTACATCTTGCTAAATATTTTCTAACACTATGGGATATGTTTTAAGGTTATTTCAGTATAGTACAGGGAAAGCACGGGAGAATCTTACCCTGCCATGATGTCTACATTTATTTGTGAAAAAGCTATTTTTATTGCTATTTTTTTAATTTATTGTTAATTTATTCTGCATCAAACAAAAACACACTTGTGTTGAGTTGGGACACAAGCACAGTGGCTGCTGCTTGTGAGTTGGATTTGTATTTATACATGTGTCGGGGTGGAATAATGTGTAATTCACAGAATGAAAGGGCGAAAAAAATGTTGACTTTTTAAATGTAAAACTTTTGTTTACGGTCAATGGTACTACAAGGTTTCATGTGTTTGGAGGTGGAAAGAATGTGTAAGAGAAAAAGGTTGAATGTGTTTAATTCAGCAGGCCTTCTTATTCCTTATACTGGAGCCTTTATGAGGAGATTTACATTTAATTTAATGGTTAGGTCGATACATTTACTGTGTGGAAATGTCAAGTTACTTGTAAATGTTTGATTCAGATTGAGAAACTTGATATGGACTACCAGCTGGCACTTGGTCACTTTTTTTTAAAAACAAGAACTACAGTTTTAAAGTGCGTAAATCATTGTTCTGTGAATTCATAGTTTTGTTTTGGCTGATGTTAAGCTCTCTAACCTGAACTTACCCTGTGATGTCAGTAGCTGTGTCCCGAAACTTGTGAAATGTGTACAGCGTTGATTAAAGGGTGCGATGTGTTGGAGCACCAACAGCTGACAATGCTGGAAAACAGGCTGCGTCCAAGCTCGTTTACATGACGGCTGTTAATGTTTTTGTCAATTATGACATGACTTTTTTCTCACTGTTGTCAGCAGATTGTGATTCAATATCACTTAAGTTTCAGTGTTTGTTTTTACGTACATGGTCAGCCTCCCTTGATGTTTTATTAAAAAAATAAATGTATTCTTGTCACTTTTATTCTTATATATTCATTTTTTTGAAAGTATATGTCGCAGCATATAAGTTGTAAGATTCTCTACAAAAGGCAGAATAGCTACTAAGAGGACTTGATGAAATGTTTTCTAAACAATATTACAAAAATACCATAACCTAACTCTATGCCATTTTATCTATAATTCTAATGTAAAAAAAAACACTTTTGAGCTTAATATCTTTAAACTGCCATCTGAATTCCCACGATCCATTTGCACTTAAACATTAAGCACGTCTCAATGAAATTAATTTTGATTATTTCAATCTGAAATAAATGTATTTGTCAATCAATGGTCTTTTTAACATACAGCAGGCACTTGTCTGGACTCCACGTTAACCATCTTTATTTGTCCGTTAGCTCTGGCCGTCACTAGGAAAAGGTTTGGGTACGTTTCAGGGTTCCTCTCACATGAACAAACTGGTATATTTTGTAGGCTCTCACTTCTTTTCTTCTCCAGCTCGTACTGCAAGACAGGAAAAAAACATCTGTTTGGTCATCCTCCTTAATAAGATTATATATTTGCCAATATCTACAGGCTTGCCCACACATGCCCAAAAGCAATTTGATTATTACAAATCTTGTATACTCCCCCGGCTGCGTGGTTTTCCGTCCGTGCACATAGCTTTACCTCCATGTCGGAGGGAGGACAGAGAGCCAGCTTGCTCTGTCTGTGTTCCATCACACGCTGCAGCTCTGGCTTTTTTCTGGGCAATGGACCTCTGATGACACATGGATAAAAATACTGATAACAAGATGGATCACTAGATGGAGATATAGGATAAACATACTGATAAGAAGGATCACTAAATGGAGATATAGGATAAACATACTGATAACAAGATGGATCACTAAATGGAGATATAGGATAAAAATACTGATAAGATGGATCACTAAATGGAGATATAGGATAAACATACTGATAACAAGATGGATCACTAAATGGAGATATAGGATAAACATACTGATAACAAGATGGATCACTAAATGGAGATATAGGCGACCCAAAATATACCATAAAACGTTTTAAGAACAAAGATACAGAGTAGGTGGGTGTATACTTCTCAATGAAGCTTAATGATAATTTTTTTTTTTTTTTTTTTACTGCATCAAGAACCAAAAACTAAATTCTGTTGATTTTGTAGTGATCTACATTATTTTCATTTCATCTGACACAAGAGAGTGAGAGCACTGGCCCCCTGATGAGAGATTAGCAGTGATCCCGGTCAAAGGTGTACTTTTCACTGATCGGTGTTAAACACCACCTAAACATGTTGCTTATCCCACAACACCAGTCAGCTGGACAGAGGAAGCCTAAGAGGATTCTCTGTCTGAGGAAAGAGACAAATATAATGCTGATCTGGATAACTGCTCTCTGAAAGAAGCCACAATCTGTCTTTATTACTCACAGGTCCTGAAAAATGTCGCGTGGAAAAATGAATCCTTCTCATAAACATTGATTCGACGTATAAAACTCTCCGGTAAATATTCTGTGACAACTGCTGCCTATACATATGTGACAGGATTGACAGCGGGTACAGAGCTCGGTGTTTTCTCACCTTCTGAGGCAGAATAGCAGCTGTTGGTGAAGGACTCTGTGTTGGTGAGAAAACAGGACAGGATTTGGCAGCTTCCTGTGTTGGATGAGGTCGCCACCCTCCTCACCTGGCGAGGTGGGACCATCCAGCAGTGATGTCTATTTGTTACACATAAATACAAGCCAGCACGCACAGTGTTTTATCAAGGGCACTCCTGTACGGACAATATTGGAAGTTCTTCTGTTGGTAGCTAAATGTAAATAATCTTTTTTTGATATTTTGAAGTTAAATGTGTTATCATACGAGTGACGTTTAAAGTGAAGGGCTAAAATGACTGTTGTTTGATTTCATCTTACCTCTTCTATTTTGAAGACCCATTTTTAATGATACCTGAATGAAGAACAGCAGGCAAGCAAGTAAATTGCATTTGCAAAATGCCTTTTGAAAACTGAAATAATGCAAATGCTGGATGCAAATGCAAGATGCAAATCCACACCGACTGTTCTGCCACCCATCCATCAGCAATTGTAACTATATCAAATTTAACTCTTCGTCAAACAGGAATCAACACATCTAGACACGCACACATCCACACAAAGAAGAAAAGTAATCACTGCAAGATCACAGTAGTGTTTTGCTGGAGGGAGTTGTGCATTGCATTTTAAGGTATGACCAATGAAAGATATTTTCAAAAATAATAGGGCTATATTTGATGTGTTTAATGGATCAAATGGAGGAGGAGAATAGTGACTCTACTAACTCTTATCTACAGCAAGAAATTGTGCAAAAATAAAGGCAACATGGTTTGTGACTATATTCAGCCTTACATACAAAGGATGTATTGTACTCTGAGCTTCCAGTTTGGGAAATTATCTTAATTCCAGCTTTATCGAGTATTTTTTATTTGAAAACCTGAGCCCAGAACAAACACTGCCAAACTCAAATATGCAAATAGCCGATGTTTTCCCTCTCAGGTTATGATGAAAACAAATATTACTATACTGTGGAAATAATGATAAAACCAGTCCTACCTGTGTGCTGGGGTAAAGATAAAGACAAATACTGACATTTTCAATGTTCTGCCACAACATATTAAATAGAGAAGTATGGATATAGTATATACAGATAATAACAAGAGGATGTTCCAAATAGAAGCTGTGATGCAAAATATGCACATTAATAAACAAGTTTAAAAAAAAATTGGTGCAAAAAATATAATTACAATAAATAGGTTTAGGCATTACATATGCATTACAGTAACTCAGTGTGACAAAGTGTATGCTTATGCATTTGTACATGCAAGTATCATATGATTATAGAAACAATTGTTGAAACAACGGTGGTAGAAAGGAGCACATGCACAGTATAACAGATAAACTGTTTCTATATTTTATAAATTTAAATTGTACAGGCACTATATGGGTTTGAGTGGGTCTTACAGGCAGTGCAAGTACCCTGGTTCAGAACCCTCTTGACTGGCTGAGACTGAGCTTATTTGGACAGAGAGCACTCTGGAATGGCTGATGACTGTCAGCACAATTTGCTCCATGGTGGACCTCTGGGAATGGGGTGGAGGTGACTGTTCAGCAGTGTCAGCTCATTGTATTGTGGGCGGAAGCTCAATTTAATCCTTATCTGTCCCTCTGTACCGCACAAGGTGTGTCCAGGTTCAGAGCTGAAGAGTTCAGTGTGCTTTTTCTGCCTTTTCATGTGCAGTATGTCTATTTGTGTCCAGCCTTGTACCTTTTTTTGGCAACACATTCTCCAAACAACTGCAGAATTTAAATTGTCTCGTTGTAGATGGTGACCATGAGACATATGGGCCTTATAGACTACATGGAGCTGTAACTCATAAAGTCCAGAAGATGGCAGTAATGCTAGAAACATAAAGCACAAGAGAGAAAATTGTAAAGCACTGAAACCGGAAATGTCAACCGAGTGACTGCGAAGCGAAGTAGACCGCTGCATCTCCACTTTATGCCACATGATGGACTGCTAATCTAGGAAACAGTCACTATACGTTGTCAAAAAGCAAACTGCGAACATGACAAATGGTAAGTGTGTTGTGTTATTCAACAAGCTTAGAAGTGTCAGCAGCAGAACAGGACATGGACAAGTTCGGCTAACGAGGAAGCTAACGTTAGATTAGCTGCAGACGTGGCCCTCTGTACGAATTGTAACATACCACTCGTTTGTTACAGTTGCAGATTTATTTCAGTTTTTCCATTCTTAGTGAAACGTTTCTTCAAACCATTAATGTGGGTAACAGCGTGTTTTTCAGGCTGACGTTCCACGGTTTCGTGCTAACTAGCTTTAGTGTATCAGTGGCTAATGCTAAGATCCAGATAGCTAACGTTAGACCACAACAACAATCTATGAATGCAAGAAAACATACACATCATGGAAGCAACTGACAACTGTGTAAATTGCATGAAAACTTGTTTTTGTACTGCGGAAGTAAGCTGAATGAGTAATGCGCTCAAGCTGCCTGGCAGGTAAGGCAGACTGTGTGATAGTATCTTCCCCTCCGTCCTCAGTGTACTCTCTCGATGGCATCCTGGTTTTTGGGCTGCTGTTCGTCTGCACTTGTGCATACCTCAAGAAGGTGCCTCGCCTCAACAGCTGGCTGCTGTCGGAGAAGAAAGGAGTGTGGGGCGTCTTCTACAAAGGTAGATATTTTCAACACACCGCTGTGATTTCTATACACAACTTGAGAAGTCTTTCTTTAACAAGTGGTTTCATCAACTTTAAATCTGAAATGGGGAGACATGTCAATAGTCTTTGCCATAATGGAACCAAACCTTTTTTAATGTTAGTTCCACCTGTGGTCTACAAGCTAAAAGAAGCAACAATGTCCAATGTGGAAAAAAAGGCAGATGTATGTAGAAATAAAAACCCTTAAAGCTTAAAGTCAGAACTTAAGTCTCAGTCATTGTTTCATTTAAAATGTGTTGTTCTGTCGTGTATATAGTCAAAACAACAGAAAAAGTGGCCCTGCCCAAATATTTACAGACCACACTGTGATGTAACACTCACTTCACTGATAAACAATATTCTCCTTGTTCTGTAAGTTTGTGTTTGACCAGCAACTTTCCTCACTCACCCTCGTTATCCTCCATCTCTCTTCTCAGCTGCGGTGATTGGGACACGGCTTCACATTGCCGTGGCAATTTCCTGTTTGGCCATGGCTTTCTACGTTGTCTTCTTAAAATGATAGTTGGGTTGGGCTGGAAAGGACACTGGACGGGTGCAGGCTAGGGATGGACTCATCATCGTGGTCATGTGCTAATCCTTGTTGTGGGGGGGGAGGGGGGGACCTCTTGGATTACCTGACCAATGAAACCCCATTGGCCCTGTAGAGCTCCGAGAAAGACTAGCCAGTGCAGTGCTGCCCCCCTTTGGTGATTGGGTACATCACTCTTCCCTTGATCATTTGTATGCACTACAGATATTAAGGGCATCCGGCATCTTCTCCGCAGTTATTACAGAGGAGATGGTCGGTTGGGTCACATGGGATCATTCTGTTGTAGGGTAACGCTGTTTGTTGTCTCCATCCACACCCCATACATATTTATATTGAAGGATGCAGAACATTGAAGGGCAGTGTGTGCATTATACCGTATACCTGTACACAACCTAAAATTAGCTGAGCTATGTATATTTGGAAAAAGATATGACCGGTAGAGATTTGCCAGGGGTTACGTGTGATCAAACTAAAAATGATCAATTCTGCTTGCTCCCAGCTATGCTTTTTTTGTTTTCCTTTCTGTATCACTTCTTGTGTCAAGGGTGTAGGGGAAGATAAACAAAGCTAATATATAAAGATGTAAAGACTCTTACCTTTTCTCAACAGTGCTGTTTGACATCTCTTAAAGGAGCTATATGCAAAATTCAGAGTCTGGGCCGGGATCGCCTGCACGCGGCTCTCACCTCTGACATCGCAAGCAAATCATGGAAGTGGTAGAGCCGACATGGCGGTGGCTAGCAGTGCTAGCTGTGTTAACAGCGCTAACAATGGCAACGGTGCTGACACTCACCGAGGGCGACCTAGCTTCCGTGAGAACGACGTCACTGGGTTGGGACAGCAAAGTCGGTGTTAACCACCGTATGAAGACGGCTCTCCCATGCACGCCCAGCCTGGGTAGTGCACAGTGAAGAGCAGTGGGACATGAACACAAAGGGAGGCAGAGGAAGAAACGGGGAGGACTGACAGTTTTAAGGACTAGCCGGACCCACATGCTCTAACATGCACACGCGGCCGGCCCAGCTACCAAAACGAAGAACAAAGAAGCTCCGATTACAACACAAACGTGGAGTGTGACTACATTCTCTGCCCAGGATGCATTGCTCCGCTCTATTTACGTTATGAATGTGGTATATAGCTCCTTTAAGCTTTGTTTTAGGTTTGAAATACAGATGTTGCACAGCTGTATGTTGTATTTACTTTGACATCTAATTCTATAACATGTTTTAAATGTCACAAAAAAGGTGAATTGTAAGACACGTGGGAGACAACGTGTACTGCAACTGTAGAGTATCGCAGAGAGAAGAATAACTTTGAAAGAAGCTTATCTCAACATATTGTGAAAGTTGGCTATCTATATCCGACTCGCCTAAACATTTAAATGCGATGCCAAATAGTGGTGGTGCTTCTTATCCCATCTTAATTACATGCCGTTATTCAGAGTTTAATTCTGCCACTTTATTTTACATTTTTAAAGGAATAAATTGTTCTGAGAAGAGATGCAATGCAATTTTGAATAAAACATTATTCAGACAATTTCTGTTTGTGGTCTTTAAAAAAAACAAATGTCAAGTCTCCAGTGGCATTCATTGCTTATTCAATGTATTGCACCAGTCCCTTTTGAGGTTTTTCATGTTTTATTGATTTGATTTGAATCACATTGGGTGCAATTGCATTGTTTTTTTTTTTAACAAAAAGGGAAACAATCCTCCAAATCAATTCAAAAGAAGTACAAATCTGAAATATTTTAATGTATTCATATTCACCTTCATAAATGTAATATTTAGTTGATACAGCTTTGACAGCAGTTACAGCCTCTATCATATACAGTGCATGTGGGTAGATCTGCATCAGATTTGCACTTCGTTTTTGGCCTGCTTTGTTTTTAACCCCATTCATGCTCTGTCGAGTCACATTAGGACTGAGTCATTCATTCCTAATGTAGTTTTTAAAGCCATCTATGTGCACATAGAAAGTTCACAGCATAAGGTTATATATACTGTATGTCTGCTAATGTGCCATGTTGAACTTCCACCAAACACAGCATGCAAAAGTCAAAAATATTATTTTGGTCCCATTAGGCCATACAACGTTCTTACACCTTTTTTTTCATTCTCCCACATACTTTTTGCAAACAGACCAAATGTCAGTTCAAGTTATTTTCTAGTGCCTTGACCACAAATGCTTTCGTTTTCACGACACCTGTTCCCAGCAGATTTATAACTGTGCCATGTTTTCATAATTTATGATTTAACTTACTGTACACTGTACTCCACTGCTTTGGACTGGTACTTTATATGTCATTGTATAGGGTATATAGACCTTTTTTGCAGCAGACATTTTGACTCATCACATAAGAAAAAGCACAGGTGTCATTTATGACATACTGTAAACAATAGCTCTGTCCCAGTAAGCACAGTACCAGGACCTTAAAACCAATGCCGCCAAATGGAACTCAGCCATAATTAATTGAATATTTCTATGGACATATCACTTTTTCCCCATAAAAAAAGGCCTATTTGTAACTATCCTTTGTCCTTAATGATGTAGTTTTACAAATTGTCTAATCAGCTGTTGGACCTTCCCTTGTCATCAACTCGCAGTGGCCTGCCACACTTTGATTACACATTCAACTACTTTTGCAGTTAATAAAAACAACTGATGGCACTTTGCCATTAAGGTGTTTGTCATAATAATTTGATGAATACTGGTAGTTGTGCAATCAATTAATATGTTATATATAGAGAGAGATATTTTTATTTTGGGTCTCAGTGGTTGATCTGTATTAAAAAAAATCATAATTATAATTTCTATATGAAAATGCTGCAGTGTTCAGTCATGAGTCAGATATCTTTCTCTAAACACTTTTGAGATTGTATTAGATTACGTCATTTTATCTGAGATACGTTTAAACGGGTAAAACTGTTAACTGACTGACAGGGAGACTCCCACTCATGATATCAGTTGAAGCGGGATTTGGGGGTATCCCCTGGTTGTCGATCTCTTCAAGACGACCCAGTTCTCGCGAGAAGATAATTATTGACGGGAGCGTTCACCGACGAAGGGACGTGCGCGGTCACGTTTTCCGCGAGCCCAGCAAAGCAAGAGAACAGTGCGAAAAATTCAGCGAAAGCTAGTCCAGGCTGCTTCCTGACCCGAGCGCGTTTTTGTAGAGGAAGTTGTCTCCAAGCGCCCCGACGTACACGGAGAGGTGGGGATTTTTTTTTTTCTGCACAACTGCACCGAATTTGCACGACTGGGCGGCTGAAGTTTTGTGCGATTGAGCACCGTCTCAGTTGTTAGTTTCTTAGGGAGCAGCACCACTCCACGTCGTGCCACACGGGGTGGAGAGGAGAGAGGGCAGAAGTTTCCGCTGGCTTGTTTTGTCGCTATACGCGGCTCTTAAATCCGCACGAATGTCGCAGAAGGAGAGACCCACTTTCTACCGCCAGGAGCTCAACAAAACCGTGTGGGAGGTCCCGGAGCGCTACCAGAACTTATCTCCCGTCGGCTCCGGTGCTTACGGATCCGTATGGTAAGCAGTTGTTGCAGAGAGTACCATCGTGAGCACACAGCACGGTTGCACAACGGCCGAACGGGTTCCCACCACCCACAGAGGCCCGTCAGAGGTACCTCCACACGGGCTGCTTGTCAACCAGTGAAGGGTAGCAGTGGAAGGAAGGGGAAATATCAGTGGTGCCTTTTGTTTACATTGTTTTACTCCGGCTGTTGTCAACCGTCTAGACATCGTGCATGCTTCGGGGTGGTTCGTATTTTTTCAGCGGGTGGGGATTGTATTTGTGTTGTGCACCCTTTTTTTTTTTTTTTTTTTTTTTTTTTTTCAGTCCTGCTCACACTTGTCCGGTAAACACATGTATGTAACGTTACCGCTAATATCCAGTAAGCTCCCGGACAGCTCCGGGATCAAGTTGCACTAGATCCCCGGTGTTAAACATGCAGACTGACTGCTCTTTAAACGTTTATCAGGCTCTGTTTTTAAAGAAGGCTGATCAGTGGCATGTCCATGCTTGCATCATCTGCAAAAGAAGTGCCTTACCCGTGAGATACAGTGAGGGTTAACCAACACCGAGCGAAATAATCGCCTTCCACTACAACAGTATTGTAGTCCTGCATGTACAACCTGGTACTGTACACATCCGCACATCGCGTGCATTATGCATTTTCTAGTTGGGTGCAGCCTGCAGAGTACCAGCAGGTCACGTGGTTTTCGGAAAGTAGGCCCCCCTCGTGCACAGTGAGAGCTTTCTACAGAAGCCCATTCGACGACGACGATGACTCTAGAATGATGTCACCCCCTTTTTTCTCCCCCCGTTGTGGTACACCCATGACTCACTGTCCCGAGGTTAGGTAGTGGCCTCAGTTGTGACGCCTTTTAGTCATCACAAAGTCGTAGATGAGGTCATGCTGTAATGTATCTTCAACTTTGGAGTGATGTGAATGTGTGTTTTTTGCAGTTATTAGTAGTGAATGGAGGGTTAACCATGACCCCATTGTATTGTACCCACAACAAACATCTGTTAATGTACATGCAAGGCATGAATAGTGTGTCATCACAGAAATCTATGTGAGGCTATGATGTGTATAAACAACATCCACCTCTATCATGACCAAAAGAGTGCTGATAATGAAAAAAACGGCGTGTTCATGTTCCCATTCAATTCTCTTTGATTAGTAACGTAGTGATAGGGGTGGGGGAAATAATGGATTCGCATAAGAATCCTGATTATTACCGAGAACAATTCACAAATGCCAAAAGTCGAGTTTTTGTAAGTTGTTGATACAGTTAAGTTAACAGAACTCAGCCCAAGAGCACACAGTGTTTTTACGACAAAATAGTTCGCTTTTTCGAATCAGATTTTTGCGCAGGGGAGGACGGAATGTGAGCAAAACAAATGATTTGAACATGCAAGAGGTGTTGTGTAGATATATTCGAGCTAGCTGTGGGGATTCTCCCTCTCGTAATGATCAAAGCTGACTTTTTTTTAGCAGTCTGAATCCCCTTAGCTCAAACCCAGGGGCATTGTTTGTTTGAGTCAAATAATTTAGAAGTCGATACTAGCTGTTTAACATAGAGGCCTTGTTATCTTTGTCATAAGTTCTATTTGTAGTGTGATTTTCCATTATTATGAATAATCTAACAGTGAATATTATTAGAACAATTAGACTCGCAGGGGTCGGCAATTGGCGGACCACGGTCCGGATCCGGACCCAGACGCCGTTGTATCCGGACCCAGGACCTAAAAGCGATTTTATTTTGACAGGGCGCTTCTATTTTAACCAGCGCAGCTTTTTCAGCCTTTACAGCACTTGTTCAGCGGTGCAGGAAACACACCGACCAATGCGTAAATCACATCACGTGATGCAGCTCAGCCAAGTTTCCTGAATCGAGTGATATGTACACACACCGGGGGAGAGACGAGGAAAGAGAAGAAGAGCAGGAGAATAATACGTGAGTCAGAGAAGTTATTTCACATGACGTTCTCCAAAAAGAGAAAAGTGGTCAAAGAGACCAGAGTCTTTAACCAAGAATGAACAGACTCTTATAGGTTAATTCTTCACACGGACAGTTTAAAACCACTGTGTCTCACATGTTTAGAGACCGTGACGATTATTAAAAGCGGTAAATGAAGCGACACTACGAGACAAAGCACAACTCTTTTGCATAAATGTATCCTCTCACATCTAAATGAAGACACAGAAAATAAACCTGAGAGTCCAATATGATCAGAATCCTAACGCATGAATTCACTGACCAACAATGATGTAAACAGAGAGAATAGAGCTGAAACAAGTGGTTTAATAACCACACATAAAGTCCATGCAGAAACATTTCTTTTTAAATTACAAAAATATAATAGTGTCTTTTTTATTGACATCACTTCACACCTGAATGAACTGAATTTAAAGCTGCAGGACAATTCAGTGAAATAAATTTTTCTAAAATGAATTACTTTATTTTAAGATGCACATTCTTCAAAAGCTTTCTGTTATGTCAGTTATTCTTTAATCCAGCCCTTATTGTACTTGAAATGAGAAGAATATTTATTTATGTATTTCTATGTATTATTTATAATCCATCCAGTTAAATTTGAAAAGTCAGAATAATAATTGTTAAAATATAATTGATGTGTACTTTCTTTATTTGATTTGACAGTTGTTGACTACACAGAGACGTTGTTACTACCACTAGGCTTCTTGAATATATATAAATAGCGCAAGTTAGATATTATTGTAATGTTCGGACCTTTGCCGAGGACATTTTCTCAATCTGGACCTTTTTGAAATTTTAATTGAATACCCCTGAATTAGAGGAAAAACATTTAACCAGTGATGTTGGTCAGTAAATGACATGTTCATTTCATTATTGTTCTACAGACAAAAGACTTAAGCTTCCAGACAGAAAGTGACCCTCATCATGACCAGTTGGCTTAACTACGTAATTAAATCGTAGGGTTCCCAAATATTCCCATCCTCTGTGTCACCTGCTGCAGCTCCATTGTAGCCGCATTTGAGGAAATTCCTCATTGTTTTCTTCTGTATTTGACTAGATCCAAAACCAGGGCAAGGAGTTGTCAGCTTGGAAACATCCTGTGATCACAAAGTCTTTTGAATACTATAACTCAGAATCAATTAAGCAGGCAGAGTGATCCAAACAGCAGGGTGTCCTTAAAATCCTTTTAGAAGGTATCTGAAATGTATAAATAACCTCACAGCACCTACTCCAGCATGCCCCGGCTGTTGGTCAGCCGGACTAGTCTTTGTTGTTGCTGCCATGACGTTCCTCCGGCTCTAGGCTTGAATTCTCCCCAACTTTTAAATATTGAAAGCATGTACTAAGTGGGGGTCGTAAATCATTTTCACCAAGTCTTCTAAGAAAACAACACAACCACTTTCTCCTTGTTTCTGACCTTTGTTCTGTTTTCTAAATGTCAGACTTGGAGGGGATCCAGGGCTAGTGTGGTAAGAAAGTGCTCGCAGTGAATGCTGCTGGCTGGGATTACAATATGGACAGTGTGTTGAGTGCCTCGTGTTGTCCGGTCGAAGTTTCTCAGCTGAGAAGAAAAGCAAAAAAACAAGCCATGTACTCAGAGGCTCACGGGACATATGTGCATATTAAATCAATTGCTCATTTTTAGCTCGGTGCAGGGGAATGAATCATGGCTAAAAATAAAACGATAGCTAAGTCTTTTTGGTTTTGATGTAATCATAACAGTCATTTCCCAGCCTTTAACTAATGGCATATGCACAGACAGTCCAGTAAAAGATTCGTTGGAAATATTCACATCATGTCTCTACAACAGAGCGTTTTCAGAAATCATCAAACGCAGTTATTGCTCATCAGAACGTGGAAGTTGTGTAGAAGCTCTTACGTTTTCCTGCTCTCCTTCAGACATTCATATAACTGCTCTTTGGATGTTCCCTCATTCTCAAAACACATTAACATTTAAACTGCTACTGATTTGCTTATTTTATGGAACAAAAAGGTTTCTGTGCACAGGCCCAGCTCAAGGCCCTCTGGTTAAAAAGAAAAGACTGTGCTTTGCTTATTTCCTCTGCGTCCTTAAATGTCTTCCACTCATATCTACCACGATATCCAAAACCTCAGCTCATATTTAGTCTCGTATCATGAAACCAATATGATGTTGCTGTGTTGCGCAGCCCTATGATGAAGCCAATTTGGCGAGAAGGTGCAAATTGTGGCGAGTTTGGCTGACACGCTTGGTTTTGACCACAGAGATGCGTGCACTGACTTGTCAGCTTTCCAAACAAACAGGAGGCTTACACTTAAGACCAGCAATTTAAATAACTCCATTCAGTCATGTGAGACTCATGACTGAATTACTGTGATGTCAGAAGAGTAAAACCATTAATTTTGGTATAAAATGATGGATCAGGCTTTAGAGCCCCAACATATCTTGGCATGCAGACACCATTGGGTGCTGAGATGCAAAAAGTTACAACTTTTTGCATCTGAGTTCTACAAATTCCACAAAAAAACACGTGAGGTGGATACACTAGGAGACTCATTTCTTCATTAAGTATTAAGGTTTGCTTTCATCAGTAGCACTGTTAGCAGAGAAGATTGGAAAATGAGTGTGATTATTAAATTAAAGCTGTAAATACTGACGTTATTGCTGCATTGAAACCCGTTTACCCCTTTTTATAATACCGTGCGAGTGGAACAGGTGAAGTCGAGTTATAGTGGAAGCATTTCTGTGCCTTGGGTCATAATGCGCATAACAAAGCGCTTACTGTTGAAGATTAAGGTGCATCATTATAATGAGATCTGATGATTTAAAAATATGCTCGATTTAAAAACGTGTTCCCCTTCTGCCATCTTGATATGTGGCCTTTGAGTCCACGATGTTCTACCTGACTGCCATCTCACGCTTGTTAGTTCCTGTCATAACCATAAACCAATTAAAACTATTCTTAATAACCACAGGCCCATATACTGTATACCTGATGGTGTACTTTCCATGAGGACTGAGAGGATTTGTAAGGACATATTGCATACATTGTCTGGTGTTCTTGTGTGGGGAAGTACGCATTTGACTGTTATGCCAACTCATGGTGTTAGGCGTTCCTGTTTAAATGTTGTATGGATGATGTGTCTCAGAAGTTAAATGCTTGTGAAGCGGGGTGTCTTTTTTTTTATTAATCTCACTACTGTGTTGATCATTTGAATGTGCTGTTCTCTCCCTGTGGTGCTGGTCTTAAACGTGTGGGATCATGTGCTCCTGACGTGATGCTGCTGCCTTTGACATCAGATTTAATGCTGAAAGTATTCCTCACAGAAATGTGTTTCAAGATGCTTGTAATTGTACAGATGACATATAACATCCTCGATGAAATACACAGCATGTTGTAGTGTTGAACTGTCTGTGCTTCCCGTAACACTTCAGTTAATTATAATCACTCAAAATGAAGCCATGAGGCTCTTAACGTGCGTGCGCCAAGATGTTCTAGTGCCAGCCATGTTTGTCAGCAAGAGTGCACCCACATGTCAAGACTCTGATAAGCAATCGTATGCATACACGCCTGAGAGAAACGCCATGAATACACAGGTTAATTTAAGCTGCGCAAGAAATGCATTTTTGTTACGCCGACTGTTGTGGAGGTTTGTTTTTCTTCCCGCCACGGGGGAGAAATGTTGTGAAAGCCTTTATCCTTCTGTCTCTCAAATCTCCTGTGAATCTAATTTCTGAAGTAAAGTGAGTTGATGGCACTTACTACAGACATTTCCTCAAGTCACTTAAAGTGCACATTTGCCCGTCTGCTCACTCTGTCGTCTGTTGGTCCACAACGCACCGCTGACGATCGCTCCTTCCGTGTGATCCCGGTCTCATGAGGCTGCTCCTTTTACAGCCCACATTTTTTTATGGTGATTTGTTATTGCACTTCCATTTATTACAGACTAATTGGATGGTGTATGCATAGACCGGTTTTGTTTGTCCTGCAGATCAGCATCAGTTTCTTTTGTGCGCGTGTCTTTTTGTTTTATCATTTAGCGTTTGGTATACTGTGTGTTTACCAAGTATGGGTTTTACCTCACAAGTGACACGTATACCAGTTCTTCTGCAAGCCGGGAACATAGAGTACAGTGGGTGTGGGAGATTATCTCCGACTTACTGGCAAAAACTTATCTCAACGTTATCATTATGGACGTGTGGCAATCTGGACCATAACTTTGTGCACCAAGGCAGACTTATTTTTAATCTTCCCAGTCATGTGCAGGGAAAGGTCGACGGTTCAAATCACCAGTTTGTGCAATTTGTTCAAGGGAAATGACTCTCATCTCCTCCCCCGTAACACGGAGTGTTAACATGGCCTCAAACTCTGAACTGAAAGGGCCACAGTGCAGCTGATACTGGGTCAGTAGCTCAGGTAGTTTTAGTGGCTTGCACTATTATGAGTTTCAACCAATCACTGCAGGTCCGCTGGATTTGGGTTTATTCTGTCGTTTGGAAAAGCATTTTGATGAAAAACACCCGTGTACATTCCCCCGCCCACATGGTCGGAACCACAAGGAGAGGAAACAATACTTTTTGGCGCACTGAGCACAGATTTCTTTCTTTTGCGTTATTTTGAAATCATCCATTTGTGATGCAGCTGAAGTGATTGACCTGGAAGGAATGTGGTTTATTGTAAGTGGGTTGTGTTCCCTCACACAGGAAATACAGCAATGTCACGCTTCTTAGGAAGGCAAAGCCCATCTGCCTCTCTTTCTACCACCCTCACAATGTCAGTCTCTCTGTCTGTTTGTCTGTCTGTCTCTCTCTCTGTGGACAAGTGTGTTGATTTTTACTGGTTCCATCTCGGAACATATTGTGCAGATTTTAGTAACAGCCCTTTGCTTATTGCTCAATTTGCATCAATAGAGAGCACATTCCCCTCTCAGCTTCATGTTACACTTCTGTTGTCGATGTTCTTTTGGCCACACCTGTTTCTCTTCTTCTTTTTTCTTTCACACTGCCTCCACAGTGACAATGGGGATGATCGTTACAATGAAATGAGTAAGATAATGAATGAGGACTAAAACAAACACAGCCATGCACACTTACAGGAACAGCTCCAGCAGAATGGCAGGGCAGGTGCTGAGTCAACGTGGATATGCAAAAAATCTGCTTTTGCAACGTTGACAGTTATTTAGTTTGTTTGTTCCTGTTTATTGAAATAATTTGTAATACCTCATTGTTATGTTCTTATTAACGTACTGTAAACATTCTTGTAATGATAATGCTTTGGATTGATTCAACAAACAGACATGTTGTTGACAGAAGTTCATTTCTTGAATGAATTAAGAATAAAACATTAACAAATGGAGCTGTAATTATAGACTTTAATGGCACATGTCAAGTGGTCCTGGACATCTTGTGCTTTTTAGTACCTACCCACCATTCTTTAAACAAAGTAAAGAATTAGACAACTCATTCGTTGTTGTACACAATGTCGTCATGTTCCCCCAGAGTGTAATAAGAAGCGAACCTGAACCAAGAGTTATGCAATTGTTTGCTTTGTTTACTGGGTTAAGGCCGCCTAAGCAGTCCAGTGAAACGTGTCATTCTCGATTAAATAAAGGGAAGTGTTTATGTTTTTGATATGATTATTATTATTAGCCTGAATGCTTTTACTTTTTACAACCAAGGTCTAACTGGTTTCAAACACTGTCTTTCAGTTCGGTGTATGACATGAAGACATGCCTGAAGATTGCAGTGAAGAAGTTGTCCAGACCCTTCCAGTCCATCATCCACGCAAAGAGAACCTACAGAGAGCTGCGACTGCTCAAACACATGAAGCACGAGAATGTAAGTCGGCTGCAGTCAACCCGCCCTCACCGCCGCCGCCCGGCCTTAAATCTCTGGCTGGGCCCCGACTCGTGTGTGTGTGTGTGTGTGTGTGTGTGTGTGTGTGTGTGTGTGTGTG